GGGGGGCGTCAGCAATGCCCGTATCAGATGCCCATGATTACAGGTGGGGAAGCGCGCACATTGTCACAAGATTTCTTTTGCGCTTATTACCCGTGTTTCCGTGCTGCCTTGTGTTACGTGGGTCACGGAGGTGTGTGCGTGTAAGACTGACCGGTGGTGGTTGACCTGGTTACAGGGAGACGACGTGCATGCGCTGCGTGACGTGATAGCGTTTGGCGCGGGCGGCGGCTCAAGCGACGGCATCAAGAATGGTCTTGCTGTCATTTGCTCGTCGCTACCTGCCGACCGGAGGACACACCCGCATGTCGCGCCGGGCTTGCCTCGGCGCCCTCTGCATGGAACTGCCGGGAAGTTGGGCTCGGCTCTACTAATAGCAGCAGCTGGTTGGGAGTGAGTGACGTGGTCAGGGTTCTCTATTAATAGATGCAGATGTCCAGGCTCTAATTAAAGAGCAGCTGCTTCAGGCTCTATATAGAGCACGCTGCTCTTGGCTCTACTATGAGCAGCTGACTCGGCGTCTCTAGGGTATAGCAGCTGCTCTGGGCTCTACTAATAGAGCAGCTGCTCCAGGCTCAACTAATAGAGCAGCTGCTGGGTTAACATAGTAGATGTAGTGTATTTAGAATGTTCAATGGTTGAGTGCATTTTCGTCAAATTAAGCAGCGATTATTGTGAGAGATTTAATGCCTTTGCTTCATCTTACCCACATGCAGAAGCATGTGCGAAAAATGTGCTCATGTGGCGTCCCACCTGTGAACTTGAGATCCCTGATTCTTGCATTCGATTCTCGTTACAGATAACGACCCCACGGCCGCTCCCGAGCCGATGATTGGATGCTGAGGCATGGTCGAGCGACGGCTTTGTCTGTAGCCCTGAAGGAGGCGCCACATGTCGTATTTCAGCTGATGCAGGACCGAGCAGTGGAGTCAGCACTGCAAACACAAGCACAGATAGGGTAATGTACTGCGTCACTAGCAAACACAAGCACAGATAGGGTAATGTACTGCGTCACTAGCATGCAAAGAATGTGACAGGCGAAATATGGATGGAATTTGTCGTTTTCTGATTTTTTTATATTTTCGTACACAATCCCCTCGTGTCATCTATTATGATATAATTGCATGTTGCTCCTCTCTCTCTCTCTCTCTCTCTCTCTTCTCTCTCTCTCTTCTTTCTCTCTCTCTTCTCATTCGCTCTCGCTTTCGCCCTCTCGCTCCCGATCCCGCTCGCGCTCGCTCTTGCTTCGACTTCTCTCCTCGCTCTTCTTCTCTCTTCTTCTCTATCTCCTCTCTCTCGCTCTTCTCTCTCTCTCTCTCTCTTCTCTCTCTCTCTCTTGCTCTTTCTTTCTTTCTCTCTATCTCTCTCTCTCTCTCTCTTGTTCTCTCTCTCTCTCTTTTCTCCCCCTCCCCTCTATCTCACTTTATTTTGATTTTATTTTGTAGATTCCAATAGCTCTGGCCGGCATTCGATCACTAGGCTTCATCTTGCACTGGCAGTTACAGGAGGATGTTCAGACTCTTCCCCAAGTCATATCAACTCTGGGCAAGGTATGCTCATCTACTTCTGCCAAAATATTCTTTGATCTTTCTCTCTTAGAGCACATAATATTTGTCTTATAATAATCACTCCCTCTTACAACACGTGGCTATATTATATATGCTAATGGCCATAAATGACATTGTAAGCATTAATTAGACTGATTGCAGTTTAGCGATGTACATAACACGTAAAAGTGGCTTGTGCCTACCAATTGTAACAATTGTACTCTCCAATGATCGTAGCTTTCTTACTGATCGAACTAAATACTCGTCTGTCTCCCGTGCGCAGTGCATGAACCACTCATCTAACGAGGTAAAGCAGGTCGCCGCACAGGTGTGCTCCTACCTGGCCCGCGGCCGCGCCCCCGCCTCGCTGCCGCTCCCCGCCATCCGCTCGTTAGCGCCGATGCTCGTTAACGGAACCAAGGAGAAGAACACGGCGGTGCGCTCCAGCAGCGAGCACGCGCTCGTCGCGTTGCTGAGGCTGCGCTCCGGCGACACCACCTACCAGGTACGACGTCGCCGCGGCAACGCGCGCGAGGGGGGAGGGGGGGTGTTTGGCCGCATTTCCACTCTAGTTGTTGGTTGTTCTTGGGTTTCACAGATGTATGCGTCTATCGTGTACAATATATAGATCTATATTATGTCATTCCTGATACTATAGTATTTAATATATACGTATATATACATATCTACATATATATATACATATACCTGTTTGAATCCACCATAACAATCACAAATCTATGGAATTGTACATTATATACTATATACAGTACAAAGCTGCAGCTGCTGCTGGTGCTGTTAGCATTAAGAGCCTCATATAATCTGGTTGTAGCAGCATAGTTTGCAAGCTACTCTATTGACACATCCACTGCTAATCGTTCTCTGTGGGCCAGTATTAGACTGCCCTCGCCACTAGCCATTCGAAGTAAGAGAGACAGATATCGGGGCGTCGGTAGGAGTGGGCGAGAGAGGTCCAGTGGTCGGTGCGTTGACCGCACGCATACCACGCTTATTGCTGCAGGACGTGCTGGGGATTCTGGACCCGGGACCGAGCGACTCACTGACCGACACGTACGCCAAGTCTCTCCGCAAGCTGGCCACACAGCAGGAGCCTCGCGAGGAGGAGATAGACAACACACTGCTGCAGTAGCGCCATCTGCTGGCCAGTAGACAACACGCTGCTGCAGTAGCGACATCTGCTGGCCAGTAGACAACACGCTGGTGCAGTAGCGACATCTGCTGGCCAGTAGACAACACGCTGGTGCAGTAGCGA